TGTTGTCCTATCGATGAGAACTATAATGAACATATGCGACATTGGTCGAAATAAGGGCGCACTTTGCATTCCGCGAACGGGTTGTTACTCAGATGCGTTTATTCTTTGTTTTACAATATCTGTAGAATTTCTGTTGAAACGCCGCTGCGAACAATTAAAAAACAAACGTTGTGCGCGCGCGCGTTTGTACGTACGTACATGCATATTGCCAGCGTTCGGAATAATTCACCTGATAACTACTACTTCTTTATTCGCGAGAAACGTGAGTTGAAAGCTATGTGGTGATTCCAACTTTATAAAAACAATTATGCAACACATCGATTATATAATAACATTTATGGTTATATGCATTTCTTCTGCCCGATCGCCGTGATTCCTGTCAACGAGCGATTGTCATCTCGCATGAGAAAAAAAACAATTGCAGCGCAAAACCAGGCGGTTGTAATCGATATAACACTTACATACGGCACTTTTATAAATAATTAACATGCATTGCGAGATGTATTGTTTGTGTGTTTGCATCGGCCGCGCTCTGTTGCCGCGCAATTAATCCTCGTCGGTGTATCTAAGTCGATGTGGTAACCTTGAAGGATATATTTTCGCCTGCCGTCAATGAACTGTAGCGCACGGCCTACTTTTTATCTCTGCAAGGAACGAATAATCGTTTTGTCACGGCTTCTTGCGAATTCAACGGTTCACTTTGTTCTCGAACGCGCGCGCACGCGCGTCAAACAACACTGTTGGCAAAACCTTGCAATAGTTAAATAAGTGTATTTTTCACACAAAAAGAATAAATTGGCGAGTTGCCTTTACCTTTTACATCTGTTTCCGTCAATTGTACACATATACAAGGTTCTCACCACCAATTTCGTACCTTCTCGCGATACTTTCACCATTTGCGCCAGCGATCGACGTCACGCTATCACCCGGGGAAATTTATAATTTTAGCGCAGCGACGTCAGAGTGCGGTTAATAACGTTTGCGGTTTTTTTTTCACACGTTATAACATTTTTTTATTTATCAGGAAATTCTCACGGAATATTGTCGATATGTACTTTCAATTTCTTGGAATACTGTAGGAAGAAAATTTTGTAAGTGTGTCACGCGGAAACTTGTTACGGATATAACCTGCTTTCTATCATCTTCTTATAAAAAAGTATATTACAAAATTTTATTGGAGTTACCAAAAGGAGCCGGAGGTCACACCTCATTTATCACTTATTTATATTACAAAATTTGTTTATTTAAATTTGTTTATCCAATTTTTAATCAAATAATTTATATTGATAAAATTTTTAAGAGAACACACAATAAGTTGATATTTGGTGTTTCTGCGGTGTGTTGCATTAATATCTGAAGATGGTTTTTGGGTTTGGACCGTGTTAGTGTTTGTTTTTTATATCAACGTTTCGTGAACATTTCGGTTCACTTTATCAAGGTTTTAAAAGCAACCTGATACACAATAAAGTTATACTTCCGATCTATAAAGTTATATTCCGTGCAGCTTTCGCGCGCGTAATATTCATATTCGAGCAAATTCTACATCTTCAATTTCTCGTGACTTCTGAGAAAGAGCAATCTCTCCGAAAAATGTCGTTTGAGCGACGCCACTCGATCCCGTCGCGTTTTAACCTTCGGTCATTGTCGCCTGACCGTCTGCACGCAACGGATCCATTTTCGTTCTCCGAAACGCGCATCGCAGTCCGAGGTCAACCGCATTTGCCGCAGCATCAGCAAGCATCGAGCAGCCTCTCCTAGATCCGGATCTCTCTATCTTTCTTTCTCGCGGAGAACCGTGACGCGCGCGATGACGCGTTTGAATTCGCCGCGGAGTGTGTGTCGGGCGCCGACCAATCGGCGCGTCCGTCGCGCCCCGCTCGTCCAATGAGAAGACGCGTCGTCGGAGGCTCGACTTTGCCGCGACGTGACGTAATGCCGTTTAAAAGGCGATCCGCGTGAAACGCGCGAATCAGTCGCACGACGCACGCTGCACCGTGCATTGCTGGAGCGAAGAAGAAGAGGAGGATTCGGATCTTCTGGTGGCAAGGAGCTACTAGCACTAGCTGTCGGCGGTATCTTATTTTCCTTTCCTCTTTTTGGTTCTTCCTCTTCTTCTTCTTTCTTCCCGGTTTTTCCCTTTCCTTTTACCGCATTTCTCTCGCAAATATCTGAAGATTTCGTCGTCCGGCGGATTGCAATTAAACGCGAGAGGGATACCGTGGCCGCTTCATCGCGCTCTTGTGGAATTCACGTGCGACGAGTCAGAGAGATCTCGATCAAGAGCAAAACGATTACGGCGCGATTACACTTGGTGCACACGAGATCCGAAGGAGCACTCTCTTCCAGCAGCACAGCCACAGTGTCTACGTACGACTTTGTTTTTTTTTATATCCGAGCGATTGGAGAGATACGCGAAGGTTGACTTGTGTGTAAATCCCGTAAGTAGCCGAGCACGTCGCGCGCCAAGACGAGAGTTTTTGTAATTGCAACGGCGAACGGTTGAATCGTTTTTATTGCACCTCTATCGTCCCTTCTTCGAGTGATGAGATTCAATTACAAAATGGACCCGAACATTAGTTTATTTTTAGAACATACTGTGAACTTCCGTTCGGTTCTGTTACGGAAGATTTTCCTGTAAACGGGGGAGAGAACGCAATAACAAAGTAGCGCGTCAAAACGTATCGTTGCGATGGAACATCATCAGAAGCTGTTCACTTATTGAATCACAGTGTTTTTAATCAGTATTTGTACAAGTACTTTAAGAATACAATTGATTTTTTTTTCAAAATACGTTTTTGGGATAAAAAAAAAGTTTTAAAGAAATACAATCGCACTAAAAATCGCGTAGAAAAGAAATATAATCGTGCGATTATATTTTTTTCTTATCTTAAGTACGAAACGACGTGGACATAAACACATTGCAAAAGAGAGAGAGAGAGAGAGAGAGAAAAAGATGATGTTGTTTATCTGAATTACTTGCGGTGTCGCGAAATTAGTCATTCGATGTGTCTATAGAGTCTTCTCATTTGCTTTTTGTGTCTCTTCACAATCGGTATAGCGCGCGGAGAATAAGAGGCAGGTGACATTTATCGCACTCGGGGGTGCTAAATGTAGCCGGTGTAATTTAGCGACGGAAATAGGCGCGAGTGATATCAATTTGGTGTGTGACTGGTATTGACAAATTTAACAAGCACGTCGTTGATACATACGGACGCATATAGCAATGACGAAGCGGTCGTGTAGGAAATAAAACGTTGTCGCAAGTCGTATACGGTTTGAATTTTTGCATTTTTGTTATCGTCTAGAATTTCGCGATCTTGTTTCTTTTAGCGTCGGTTGTCAAAAAATTTTTAAGTGTTCGCTGTCTACTTGAATTGTAAAATTGCAAAAAATTTATAAGATTAAATATGCGGTGACCGAAATGTGTGCGCGTGCGTGTACTACTAAGTTTTTACAAAGTTGTGTGAGAGAAGGAAACGCTCTGCGTAATAATTAACTAATTTGATATTTAATAACTTACTGTTATTTAATTATTTGATCGTTTTAACTTTATATACATTCAACCTTTCGATTGAGCTGTTGATGTGTCAAATATGTTTTTCAGGCGATCCTCGCTGAGAAGCGATCGATTGTCGTATCTGCAAATATATTTGCACTGACAAGTCGATCGCGTTCGATAAAGTTCTACGCGAAACTTGCTCCTCGAAAGACTGTATGTATTCACCTGCTGTCACAGGCTATTAATTAATTTATTACAACAAACAACATGTTAATTCGCAGAAGCCAAATGTTTACAAATGATATTACGTTTCGAGTAATTCTGAAGGTCGCTCGCCGAAATTGATTTTACTCGCAAGAAAAAAAAAAGATCGAAAGTCTCATTGTAATAATCCGACGATAAAACAACAATCGCAGAAGAACGTCCAATTTCGTCCTACTTCGTTTGTTAACGAAATTGCGTTCCGATTGTTACCGCATTGTCTCGTGTAAAATCGTCGAATTGTTCTTCGTTGTGTGATGGATTTGCAGATCGTTCGTTAACAATGTACTTGACATGTTTATCATCCGGACGGCGCGAAAGATATTCAATTATTTTAATGCAACTCACAAATCACAAACGGCACAACGCGCGTAATAATTCTTCGTACATAAGCGCTGAGCGTAATTAGCTAATGAGTGTACAGCGATCGACTTACCAACGCGTATATATTACCAACACGTAGCATAGCAGTCGACCGTTTCCTTGAAGCATAAAAACTGCAGCAATAATCGAACGGTTATCTTTGTCGCAAAAACGCGGCAACGTAACAGCCCGTTCCGCTATGCAAATTATTTTTGCAATTTCTGTTTCCCACGATAAGCTCCGCGACAGGGTGATAATAGTCACTCACTTCAAGTTTCGTCAGTTGATATACCAATAAAAGTGCAATGCATCATTGCGCGAACAAAATGTAGCCGTTGATAAATTTTTATTTGCTCTCTTACCGCAATTTTATTATTATCTCTTCGTTGGAAAAAAACCGAAGGAAAAAAACCCGCAACACACCTCTTTATCCATTTCGTCGTTTTTATCGTGGGGCTCATTGCTTCTTCCAGTGATGTTTAAATGCTGTTGATTATATTTTACGCGGCACTTAAAACACAATCGACGATTGTTTATTTGCTCTTACTGCAATTTTATTATCTCTTCGCACGAAAGAAAAACATCCGCTACAAATCTGATGTAAAAATTAATTGAAAATGTAATTGGTTGGGCGTTGAGAAGATTGCAAGAATGTTTACAAGACGAGAGAATCGTATTTTTTTTTTGTTCGATTGCTTTCTACGATGATTGCCGGGTGGTGAATTGACTTTTACCGCATCGATACTTTTTCTCTCTATTTTACTTGTTTAAAACAATGCGTAAAAACTGGCAATAAAAATCAATCAAGAGTAAAAGTGTGCGATGACGAACGTCATGCTCGTGTGCCTAACGTTTCTTTTTATCTTGCCTGTTGCAGGGGAGATGCGGCCTCGCTGTTGGAGCTGAGACCGCCGCGCCGGCTGCGAAAGTCCGTGGGTCCGCATCCGAAATTGATCACGAAAAAGTAAGGATCACTCGCGTAAGGATCATCCGATCACGCGCCATCCATCCTCGTAAATTCCTCGCTCAAAGCGAAGCACAGAGAGACTGTGCGAATCGAAAGAGCCCGGGCCTAAAGTATAGAAAACAAAAACGCAAATCGAAAAAAAACTGAAAGAAAAATCGTGAGACGAAGAAAGCGGATTTGCTTGATCAAAAAGATCAAGAGTGAAAGAGGAGGAAAGAAAAAGAAAGAGAGAGAGAGAGAGAGAGAAGGACAAAACAAGAGAAACGTTTTATATAAGAACAAAAAGACGTTTGTAAAGTAACGTTTTTTTTTTCAGTTTTCAAGTAGAAAGCAGGAAAGAAAATCGGACGGACGTTAAACAAAAAAATATTTTGCTTTTCGATACACGTGTCTTTTTCTAGTTGATTTTTCGCGATTTTTCTCGTAAAACATCAAGAAAAAAAAAGTGATGCGCGCGTGCCTTCCCCGTGTTTGTGTAACGTGAAACCGCATCGCGCAATATACTCGTTCTACACAGTTTCTGTAAGAGAAACGAAAAAAAAAAAACAAAAATAGCGGATAATTAGATCTCGCACGTACGCGCATATTAGTACGAGAGAGTGTGAAAAAGGGAGGCATCGAAAAAAGCCGTGATTGAGAGCGAAAAAAAAATGGCCATGGTCTCGACATGTTCCGTTTTGAAGTATCGTCTTCTGCTGAACGCTGCGCTCCTCGTGTTCCTCGTCGTTCTTCAAAGTTCTGCTATCGCGGATAAACCGGGCACGACGAAACCGGACCCGTGTCCAAGGTAAGTGTTCTCAGAGAACCAGCCGAACGAAATCCATCCTCAAGCTTTCACTTGCTATTTATTTCCCTCTCTTTTATTGTTTCTTCGAGAATCGATTTGTGAAAAATCTCTCGCGGTCGCGCTCGTCACTCGTCTAAAGCAAGTTTGTTGTTGTTGTTTTTTTTTTTTTTTTGTTTTCTTTGACCGATTAATCGAGCAGCGAAATCTCTGCCACTCGTCATTTCAAAACTTGCGATAACCTAAGATCGAGACGATTCACTTATCCGCGCGCGCGTGATATCAATGTCGAAAATTTCCAGCGTCGATTGTCACGCGTGATCATTTAAAGTCGATCGCTGAACGAGTATGTATCGCTTAAGCGATTAATTAATTTTTGTCGTCATAAATATGTTAATTTATTCTGTAATAAATTATGATAAGCGTTCGTTCGCGAAGTGACTATTTTGTGATGGAAAATGTGTGAGAGCTCGAGCAAAGCTGAGATAAAATCTTCCGTAGCAAATTTTTTGTCGTCTTGCTGTGATCCCTGCGTTACAGATCGCGGCGCTCGAAATTCAAGTTTTTACGCCACTGACCGATTACGTTGAACGCACATAATTGCATAAGATTTTTGTATCCAGTTATCATACACGCGTCTCATATAATCATTGTTTGCGGAAGTGGGTTACAAAATTACGTAGGGTTAATTGGTTAAGAGTGGAACTTCATATTATTGCATTTGGCATCGCACATGAAATTGCAAGTGGTTTTACGTAAGAAAACATTAACGCAGGACGCTCTTCTTCACAATTGTCTCGGTCAAGTTTTAACGTTATATCAGTGTTTTTGTAAATTCTTTGTTATTATACGTCGATATTCATTTATTGTGGCTACTTTGAAAGCTGGTTTTTTTTTATTATCTCATGATTGCTCCTACACTTTATTTTTGAAACGGTTTATTGACTTGTTTGCTTCACTTGAAATTGATTTAAAATTATCCTTATGATTGTTGAGTAGAAATAGATGACAATCCGTTAAGAAAATTCTCGAAGATGCCAGAAATCAACAGTGGAATGCAACAAAGTAGAATCTTTTGATGTACGAACACGATTGCCAACAAAATTTTCCTCAGAAATTTTCCTCAGAATTTACTTAACGATTATTTCAATAAATTTAAATATTGTCTTGCGCGAAAGATATTCGTTTTTTTAATAAATAGGATTTCAACGAGATGTTTTCAAGTCTACAAGATTTTTATAGACCGCTCTCGCTTATATCTCTCAACACTTTCTCTTCAAAACCTCGTATGTCCACGTTAGATCAATATATAAACTGTGACAGTTGATAGTTTTGAATGTCATATGCCTCGAGAAAATGTCACAAGGTTTTAAGCAATTCGTCGTCGCGACGAGAACACATCGTTCGCTGTACGGCAGCGAAAATAGTCACATACGTAACACACAGCCGTTTGTGAATTTCCTTGAGAGATAGAGAAACACAATTTGCACAATAAAACCGCCAAGTGTCTCCATTTTTTCGCTGCGCACTAAAATTTTTTAAATTAAATTTGTTATATTTATTTTTTAATGTGAAATATTCTTTTGTCGCAGTATCCTCTTGGTTTTGTTACGTTCTCTTTTGTGCTAGGAGAGAATGCAATTGTTGCCAAACAATAGTATTTTCAATTCGTCAAAAAAATATTTTTACGTCTATTTTTTTTGTTTCAAACAAAATATTTTAAATACTTTGCAAATTAAAGCGTTCTCAGGTAACATTGTATTTTTGGACTCAGTCCAAAGCGAGCAATTCTTACATTTGCATTGACGTAAGCCACGCGCTCCGGAAATGTATGTAAAAAAATAGTAGTCTGCTTTTGAAAATAGATTGCTTATCACGAAAATGTCGTTTCTTTTGCGGACGGTAAAAAGTTAGTTTTTGCAAAAATAAAATCAGTATGTAATAAGTAATAAATGTCTTTAAGATAAAAGTTTTACTAAATATAGAAAAGTCGGTAATTATAGAAAAAATTGAGATAAGTAATTTTTCTGCATTGTTTTTTTTTAATTTAAGTCAAGTATTTCGCAAATTGAATTCGCGGTTTTCCGTTTAAAACGCGGTGTAATTTTACAGTATAATCGTGTCTCTGACATATTGAGGAATATGTATCGGTTTAAACGGACAAGATTACACGTTAGATTTGCGTGTACGCGTGACGCGTAGGCGGTTTAGGGAAATGACCTTAGCAATGAACTTTATCCTGAAACCCAGGCGCGTGGCAAGTTGGGCTCTAAATTAGCGTGTTCCGCAAGTGTACAATGAACGTGACCTTTACGTGTCTGCACATGCATGCGCACATGCTAATCGTGTGTGTATGGAAACTTTTTACTCGCGCGATACAATAACGCGCGCTATTTGAACATTCTTTTTTTTCTTTTTACGTAATTCTATTTTCACAGAGAAGTTACACTTTTAAAGCGTAAACGTACAAAAGTTTTGTATTTTGTTAACTCGCTTATTTAGTTCTTTTTTTTTTTTGTCGGAAACAAAAAGATATACGCTGTAAATAGATGCATTTACCTACTAACAATGTTCTATTTGGCGCGTTTAAACGTGTTCTCATCCAAATGGTCAGATAAGAGCATATATCGCGAATGAATCAGGGTGAATGAATTACGAAACACTTTTACAAAGCGTTTTATGATTTCTAAACAAAACAAACAATAAATGTGCCAACTCGTTGTTTTTAGCGTCAACAATTGAGATAAAAACCGTGGGCGTGAACGATATCACATCAGGGTGGTCTTTACGGTTTCCGTATTTTTTCACACATTTACCGAAAAAGAAATGTTTATTGTTTTACGATCTTTGCGGAATTGAAATCTCAGCAAACAGTGAATTGAAATTTGTTATCAGTAACACACACACACACACACACACACATTTTGGGTGCGTGTAACCGTTGCAATTTTAAAAATCAAATTGTGTGTTATCTGGAAGATTTTTAGATCTCACGTGTATAAAATATACGGTGTAAAATCTGCGCAATCTTTCGCGGAGTTGTCGAGAGCGTAGGATCCGAGATTCTCAAAGGATACACGAGATTGTTTCCACAATGTTATTTCTCGCTAAAAATTATATAAAATGGTGAAAGGAGAATGTAATAACTTACTTCCTAAGGTGCGAGACAATTATAAATGGGCGATGACGCAACTCGCCATTAATGATGGGACCTCTGAAAAATTTCGCAAAATTTCGGTAATGCGCCTTTCAAGAGAGCAAGATGTTTTTCTCGCCTTACATACCGCATGAGAGAACAAACATGTTTGTTGAAGTATAAGCGTGTCGCGTCACGGACTGATCTGCAAGATTTGAATCACGTCTGCGAGATAACGATACGTACTAGGTATGTATATCCGGTTAATAGACGCGCACATCTCAACGCGATAAGCATTTAATTGCTGAAATTGAATAGTTCTGTTTTTTTAAACAAAACATGTTTTTCTGATCAAGTCACCTTGTTCGCGTAGGTTGTACGCGTAAGTTTTCGGTTTGTGTCGAATATGCGTACAAAAAAAGAACAAGAAAGACACAGCGAATGCACTCGGAGAGTGATGGATAAATTGAATCTTCCGGAGATCTTCCGAATGACGTAGTAAAGTGGCGCGATCAGGCCAGATACAATTTAAAATTGCAATGGTATTTTGTTTCAACGTGCACGTTTCAATTTGACAATCTCGGAAAAGATCTGAGTTGACTTTTATTTATAATAACAAACGTGCAATAACATTAAACCTATTTACTTTTATGATAAACGTATATATATAAAATATACATGTATAGAGAGGAATA